AATTTTTGCTGCACACTAACAGCACCTTTTAAAGGGGAAGTGAAATTCCCCTGACCTGAAAATGTACAAAAACCTTTCCGGCGCGCATAAGGATAAAAAACGCCTCAATTAATGGGAGCGTTAGGTTCCAAACCTGTATTCCTGGAATGCAGGGGGGAGGATACAGTTTTTAATACACCGGGAAAAACCCTAGGGGACTAGTCCGAACTTGCACACGGAAATCACTCCTATGAAAAAAAAGGGATTGGCAAACGATGCAAACCCCCCCAAAAAAAGGGGTGTCACTAGACGAAAGGCCATACAATAAGTGGGGGGGCCCAAGACTGTTAAAGGGCCCCCCACATAATAAGGGGGATTCCCAACAACCCCTGGCAGTCTTCAAGCTGGCACTGGACAAGCCCAAGTCGGTCCCGACCCCGGGCGTGGCTCGTCGTTGGTTTGCGTGCAGCCAGCATAACACCCGGGTTTGTTTTCCCATTTGATCCACAGGGGCCGGTCACAGACCGGGCCGGGGGGGCTTGCCCCCCGGGAAACTCTCCCCATAAACCCCGGGGTAATCAAAATTTGTAAAAGAAAAAAGTAAATTCTTCTTTCAAAAAGCTTTTTGTGAAAAACAATGATAAATTTATTTCCTTCAACAATGGATAAAAGGTTCAAAGTGATTTTTGAGTTATGATGTGGGAGAACATAAGTTAATAGTGTGTACTGGTATTACGTTTTAGTCTAGGGTGATTAAGTGGCTTTGGAAGAGTCCTAAATTGATTTCAGACCGGTTATTTTAATATCTTCTGGAAATAAAATTCCCATATTTTGGGGCCCTTGATGTCATAGTTTTTCACAGTGTGTTTGGGACAGAGGTATATCAAAAAGGATGTGTGTCTTGTGTTGTGGTCATGTGCCCTTTTTAGGTTGGTGGGGAGAGTTTGGGGGAGGGTTATTTTGCATGTATTGTTTTTTGTATGTAGTAGGCACATGAATAAGTATGGATGTTCTTAAGGGGTGAGCGTTTTTCAGACTTTTGAAAATGGTGGAGTATGCGGTGGGGGGGGAATTTGTTTCATTCTTACTGTGCCTTTTTGCTGGGTTATTAGGGGTTTTAGTGATTGCCATTTAGTGAAAAGCCCCAGTACATAGGAAAGACATCTTCTATTTGAGGACTAGAGCACCCCAAAAGCATCTGTTGAGTAATTCAGAACTATATAGGGTTTGAGGAAAAGTGTACAAAAAAAAAGCTGAAAAAACCTTTTCACCTAAATTAACAGGGGAAAATAGTAAAAAAAAAGATATTCAAGGTATTCAAGGCAGAATTGGTGTGGGGGATAATAAAGGGAAATGTTAAAAAGGGGGGGGGGGGGACATAGGTTTGGAATGGTTGGTTTTTTTGTTTAATAAATTAGAAAGAGAAGGCATGTACCTGGGTTTGGGCGGAGGCGTGTATATCCCTTTTATAAAGGGGAAAAGGGGAAAAAAAGGATTGTAAAAATTTGAGGAAAAATTTACGAGTATACCGGGAAAAAAGTGTACGGTAGCGTTATTATTGAAAGAATTAGAGGTAAGACGAATGAGAATTGCGGTGAGAAGGAGTTTTAGAGTGCGTAGGGATGTGTAGTCAAGTTTTTACATTGAAGAAATTAGGGAAAACAGTATTTAAAAAGGTAGGGAAGTTTTTATTGCATTTAGGGGATTTGAAAAGGCATATGTGTGGTTGGGGAAAGGGAAGTGGCAGATTTGCAAGTGTATGGAATAGGTGGTAAAGTTACTAAATGGTGTAAGAGTTTTTTTGGGATAGTGAGGCTCAGGTTAGGTGTGTAAAGGAGGAAGACTATTTCCGGGAAAAATAGGTCTTAGACAGGGGTGTATGTCACCTGGTTGTTTAAAAATATTTATAGTTTGGGGTTGTAAAAAAAATAAATGTAAAGGGTTTGGGGAGGGGGGGTTAAATTATAGGAAATTTAATACAAAATGGGATACAGTTTTTTTGCTGATGATCTGTGCTTATGGGGATTCTAAAGAAAAAATTGCAAAGGGTTTGTGGAGAATTTTGGGAAGTGTGTGTAAAGGTAGAAAGTTGAAAGTGAAATAAAAAGAGTAAGGTGAGAGAGTATCAATTTTTTTTTAAAAAAGAAAAATTAAAATCAAATTGGGGAGGAGGGAAAATGGAAGACATCTTGCACTTTTACTACACTTTGGTACACTACACTACAGTACAAACTAATTACATACCCTTGGGTTTTCTTTTATTTTTTTTCTAGTTCTTGTTCTTTTTATTTCCTTTATTGCCATGGGGGAAAAGGAACAGAAATTTTTCCCCTAAGCCATGCGTGTCGTGAGGCGACTAAAATGCCGGGAGAAGGGGCAGTAACCCTTCTCCTGTAATATTACAAATTTTTAAAAGGAGAAACTTTGTTTGTCCTTTTGGGGCCCCCCCACCCGGGGGGAACGGCTGGTGGGATTAAAGAAAGAAAGATATGGAAGAATGAATGTTTTAGATATTTGGGATTTTAGTGTCAGGGATGGATTTATCAAGGGTGAGGGTTTAACTAGAATTGATGAAGGAAAAAAAGGTGAGTTGTGAAATTTAGGTAATTTTGGAGGCAAAAAAAGTTTTTATGGGGCAAAAAAAGGGAAAGTGTAAAGTAGAGTTTTCCCAAACTTTATATGGGTGTGAAGCTTGGGTTGTAAATGCTGCAAAAAGGGGAAACGGTTGGAGGAAGGGGGGATGTCCTGTCTAAGGAATGTGTGGTGTAAATATTTGCAGAAAATTCGGAGTGTGGAAATTAGGGGGAAAGTGTGGAGTTAATGAAAGTAATATTAGTCAAAAGGGGGCAAGGGTTTTTTTGAGGTGGTTTGGTCATTTAGGGGAGAAGGATCAAGAGAATGAATTTGAGAGCTATAAATTGTAGGGGAAGGAAGGCGGGGAGGGGGTCATCCTCGAAAAGGGTTTGGGGGAGGGGGTAAGGAGGTGTTTTGGGGGGGGGGTTTGGACTTCCAGCAGGGGTGGCATGTTTTGATAGGAGTGAATGGAGACAAAGGTATTTTTGGGGCCCGGCGAGTGTTGGAGTGTTTTACAGGGTAATATTTAGTGAGGGATTCGGGGGAAACGGTTTTTTTTTTAACCGGACTTGAGTCTTGGAAATGGGAAGTAAATGCCCGCACTCAAAAGGGGGGGTTTGAGATATTGGCTTTGGGGGGTTTTTATATTGTGTATTTTTTTACAAATTTTTGCTTCTAAACTGTTGTATTCGGGGCCCCTTTTAAAAACATGATTTGGGGGAGTGAGTGAAAGTGTTTTATGATGATGAACTATTTCTTTTTGGGGGTTTTTTTTCTTTTTGGGTTTACCCGCCTTGGGGGGAGACGGCCGACTTGTTTAAAAAAAAAAAAAAAAAAATATTTAATGAGATAGCTTAGGGTGGGGGTTAAGGCATAGCCTCTGCCAGCTGGGGGCCCCAGAAATGTTCTTAGCTAATACTTAAAATTTTTTGGGTTTGGGGGGAAATTTTTTTTCAAAAAAATTTGAAAGCGTATGATTTTATTTTGGTTAGCTTTTTAAAAATAAATTTTTTAAAATTCCTTAAACTTTTTTCCTTGTGAAAAAAATCACTGGGGGGGTCTCCCGTACCTGTAGCCCAGGGGCCTACAAAATCTTTAAACTCCTCTGGACTGGCTAGAAAAAAGAGGTATGAAAATATGAGCAGACACCTAGGACATGACTTTTATGACTCTGGGGGGGGGGAGGGTTAGGGGCCGTAGATATGTATAAAATTATAAAGGGGAATTGACAGGGGTAAGAGGTCTAGAAAAAGATTTATGTATTTCAAAAAAATTTTAAGAAGTCCCAAACTGTACACGAGTGCATTTTTCCCCTCTTGTCGTATCGCCAAACCATTTTTTGCAAGGTAGAAAAGGTGTATGAGAGGCACGAACCAGGGATGGGGGACAAGAGAGTGATGGAGTGAATGATGAAAGTTTTTCTCTTTTGGGCCACCCTGCCTTGGTGGGAAATGGCTTATGTGTGAATAAAAAAATAATAATCTTTATTTCTACAAGTACATGCACAAGGTATACAGGCCTAGCTGACATCAGTGACATACTGCTATATAGAAAGCCCCTTGTTATGCAGAGCATTTTAGGCAAGTGACCTATACCAGCTGACTGACACCCAGGTACCTATTTTATTGCTAGGTGTACATGGACAGCAGGTGTCTTAAGGAAACGCGTCCTAATGTTTTCACCCACACTGGGAATCGAACCATGGACCTCAGTGTGTGAGCTGAATGTGCTAGCAATTGAGCTATGGGATGGTAGTGGCTAGATTATTGTGCACCCCATATCCATCCTGTGGATGGTAGTGGCTAGTTTATTGTACATCCCATATCCATCCCGTGAAGAGTAGTGGCTAGTTTATTGTGCATTCATTATCCATCCTGTGGATGGTAGTGGCAAATTTATTACATACCCCATAGCCATCCTGTAGATGATAGTGCAAGACCCTGTGGATACACATAAGGTCTAAGACAACCCATTCCACACACCTCATTCCACTTCACACCCTACTCCACACACAATATGTAGTTTGACATATTATTGAGAAATCCTTTTGTCCACCACTGTGTGTTAGCATTTTGAGAATTGATAGTCCCTGATGAAGTAAAGGAATTCTCAGTTAAATACCATAAACCACATATTGTGTGCTATTAATGTAGTTTTTAGTACATATATATTAACATTGATATACATTGTGAAACATTTTAGACTATATTGCATTGAAATAATCAGCAGGAAGAAAGTCCCCAAAGAAGTATTACTGAACATAATGTACCACTACTGTCATTTACATACAGAAAAAATTACACTATTTTCAAAATCTTTTTAGTACCCTTTGTGTATTTTTTAATTGATTCTTTTAGCAGCTTCATGTAAGAATTTGATTTTTCCCGAAGTTCCACTTGTACTTAAATCCTTGTATGCATTTCTATATTTTTATTTCTTTTTTACAGCTAAGACACAAATTCACAACAATTGTGAAGACAATTATCAGCTTCTTTGAGGTCGACTTCACCTTTGACAAGGCTTTCCTCACCAAGAACATCAATGACTGCCGGGGCCTCCTGAAACAACTAGTAGGGAACCATCTGACTGACAAGAGTATCGGCAGGATAGATCACGTCCTCGACTTCTTCACCGAGGCGGCCTTCCTGGAAGAGATGTTCAGACCTGAATCTCCTCACCGGCCAACACTCCAAACTATTATAGATGACATGAGCAAAGCTTTTGATGAAGGTGGGATCTGAAGGATAAAATAAATATTGGGTGTTGGAGCCTAAGATATTTTGGTTTCACGATGGAGAACTCTGTACTTAATTGCTGATACAATTCTTGTACTTAGGTGTGGTACTGCCATTTGCAATGCACAAGTATGGTAAAGATTTGAAGAAGAAACGTTTTGCAAACAAATAATCCTTGTTCTGTATCATATTTTCTGAGTAAACTTTAGCTTTATCATGTGTTCCACAAATGTATATGACTAAGAATAAACATTTACTAAATACTGAGGCAATATTTAAAGAGCTGTATTTAGCATACAGGTATTACTAGGGCCTTCCTTATCAAAATGACCCTCTTTTGGGAGAGTCATTTTTATAATGTTCATCTCATCATCACTGTATTTAAGATATAGAACACACAAAATTTACAAGATGTCTATTTCATAGAATACTGCACTGTATCTGCAAGCAATATAGTTACTAAAAATATATGTATCACCAAACATAGTATCACTTGTTTGTAATACTGTACTGTATTTTGTTAGCACTGAGAAAGCAAATTTCCTCAATATTTGCTAATGAAATGTAGCACACAGTTGCCTAACCCATGGATGGCTTTCATGTGTCAACACATTAGTCAGGCCTCTACACTGATAGTAGGCAGCTTTGGTGACTACTGTATTAGTGAAGGAGCTAGTTCATAAAAGAAAATAAAAGCTTCAGTTATAAAGCTATTAGTGAATTCCTCCACAGGCCAGTTATAAAGTTGTTTGTAAAGGCCACAAAACACAAAGAAGAATACACTTGGCTAATTGCATTTTAAATTTTGTTTACCAAAAAATATAAACCCTTCTACACTGTTCTTTTGGTTGACATCCATTTTTATATACATTTTAGTTAGGAAAAAAAGTAAATAAACAAAAATGTTGTAAGCTGCAGAAGTAGCAAAGTATAACAGGTTATTTCATGGGATGAAGTAGCACATAAACTTTGTCATTCATCTTCCTAGACACTACTTACTCTCCCACTAACTGAGTTTTGCAAGCTAAAATAAAGATGACCCACTCAAAATTGCTGGTTAAAACAACTGAAACAACTCCCACAACTCCTGTGCTCTTGGTATAGCATAAATGTGCATGTTGCATTGCCTCGAGTCACTATGTAGAGGCAGCCAGTCATTACCAGTTGCAACTCTCTTCCTCGCTCTCTATTAAGAATTACTTATGAATTGGCTGAGATTGGCTAAGTTGTGTGTGTATGTATGTATTTTTCATTTTGCATAGTGTTTTTAAACTAATAGTGTACACACACGAACATTCATACTCCCTACACATTCTCATAGAAACTTGTATGCATACACAAATTATTTTGCTTTAAATATGGCATAGAAATGCCATATTTAATTTTCTATGCCATATTCTGAGGAGTCTGATGACTCCCTGGAATACATTTGGTCAACCACTTAAGCAAAACACAACCTTAAGGTACTGTGTTCTGCTTTCTATCCAGTAAACAGTGTTTACTCTGTCTAGCTAATTATCAGTGGCCAGAAAAATAAAATTGAGATAAAACTCCAACTAGGCAAACCTTAGGCCTATCAACAAAACAGTCAGTCACATGCCCAGCTTTCAACCAGTCACAAGTCCTATTGTGTTTAGCTGGACTCCTATGTTGACATTGTTTGTTTGTAATTCATGACTCTTGAAATCACAATAACACGATTCCAACAACTCTTGGAATGTGTGGGTCTTGAACCCATGACAGAGAGTCCTAAAACTCACAGGCTAGTGTGTTAACCACTGGACCATTGGCTCTAATAAGGTTCATCCAAATAGGTATATTTCTGTACACCATAGGGAGGTTAGCATAGGCCACCACTGTGACCACAAATTCCTGCGAGTTTTAGGACTTTCATGCCATGGGTTTAAGCTCCACCTGTTCCATGATTTGTTAATATGTAATAATGTGTATGATTAAACTCTTTAAGCTATGGGAGGAGCCTATAGTGTTTTTACGTTGTGACTCATTATGGTCTGTTGAAGAACAAAAAGGCGCAATACCTTGACTGGAATAATACACAAATAACCTGCACATAGGAGAGAGGAGCTTACGACAACATTTTTGGTCCAACTTGGACTATTTACAAAGTCAGATTGTGACTTTGTAAATGGTTCAAGTCGTACCGAAACATTGTTGTAAGCTCCTCTCTCCTATGTGCGGGTTATTTGTGTATGGTCTGTTAGACCTTAATGATAAACACCCTGCTTGTTTGTTATACAGCTCATGCAACGTTGGCCTTTTGTATGAATTTTTCTTTGAGATGATCATTTATTTGTCCAGTGATGACTTGTTCTAAGGAATGTACTTTGACTGCCCTCCTTTATGAAAATCTTCCTTCAAAGCAAATTCTTGCTAACTTCAATACATAAATAACGAAGTATGCTATACATTAATATTAATGGAAGTATATGCTATACAGTAGTGTTAAAGGGTACACATTATAAACTCGTGTGATCACTATGCAGTTTTTCAACAATTTGCATTTTTTACTTTTGTCAGTATTCTATTGAACACTTCGATTTGCAATCATTTTTCAACCTGTTAACAAGCAGTGCTGGAATTTTTACAAGAAGCTGTATGGTTGTGCTGGAGCATCAAATCTTTCTGGAAATCTCTTCCAATCTTTTGGGGGAGTCTTGGAAGATGCCAGTCTTAAGAAATAATAGGCTTGGCTACATACTAGATTACTGACACGATTGTATTGTCTCGATTGATGTATTGTCTGAGTTTACAACTTAGGTGTTTAAGTATTGGTAGTTTACCATGGAGCCAACCAGAAAGTAGTAGGGAGACCCTCTTGTTTAATACCATTTTTAGATTTCATTGAAATTGAGGTCTATATTTTATGCGAGTAGTGCTTTATTTACTAAATGACTTTAGGGGCTTATGCTAAATTGTGTATAATCTGCCATGAAAATTTTCTGCCTAAATCATGTAATCATTGTAGTAATTTTGTGTGTGCTGGCATTTACAAAAAGTCGGTTAGTATATATTTTTAGTACTATACATGTATTTATATACAGATATTCCATACATACATATTTAAGCTTTGCGACATGTTTTGATGGAATATATTTAACTTGAAAGGAAGTTGTTGCAAGAGAAAATACTTTATTAATAGATTGCTTAAAAATACACAGGACCCTATAGCCGTAAAATGTTATGTCGCAGAATGACAGACGTATACCTAAGTGGTTAAAAGAAATCAAGATTTTATATAGACATTTTTTCAGTAAAACTATAGTTTTTTAGTGCGTTTCTAGCAACTAGCATATTTATTTGTAAGATTTGATGGTATATGTTATGAGAGGAATGATTGAAATGGATGAAAAAATATTTGTCTAGTGTACATAAACAATCACACAATCAAAGGTATGAATGTGTAGTTCTTGTGGCTGGCCCTCATGTTACATATGTGTATGTTAGTGTTGTGCGCGTTCGTGCATGCATGCATTGCCGATGGAACTTTTTTAAAAGATTGAAATGTGTTGTACAAAGTATTATTCTATGTAGAGCATAAATATATATATATATTTTTAGTGTTAGGATGGCTTTTTTTTTTTATTTTTTTTTTTTTTTTTTTTTTTTTTTTTTTTTTTTTTTTTTTTTTTTTTTTTTTTTTTTTTTTTTTTTTTTTTTTTATAATAGTTTTGTGTGTGTGTCTATCTTAACTTTTTTTTACCTAAGCTTCTGTCAGTATTGTTTAGTTTGTCCCTGAATTTTCAAAGCACATGTTTGCATGTGGGTGTTTATACCATAACAGAATTAGATCCCCATAAATTGTTTGATATTTATTAATAGTTATTAGTTAACCCATAAATGGTCCAAACGTATATATACGTTTTTTCAACATTTGAAAGTATGTAAAAAAAAGTAGATTTTTTTTTTTTTTACATTTGAAAACGTGTAAAAAACTTTGATCTACTTTTTTTTTTGTTTATTTGAAAATATTTAAAAAAAAAAAATGTAGATCTACTTTTGGAGCACTATGCATGTGAATGTAGATCTGCTTGGACAGTTGAAGGGTTAACAGTTTAATCTAAATACTCAACTCTTGCCATAATTACTTGAATGAGGGAGAGAGCGCACATAATAATGGTAAGAATTATATTATACTGTGCTTAATTCACAAATGGACAAAATTCTTTACAAACATTCTCTCTGTCCACAGCAGGATTTGAATCTTGACAGTCTGCATCAAAGTACATAGTACTTTAGCCACTCAGCCAGATCCCAGATCTGGGGTGTGGTTAAAGTACTGTGTACTTTAATACATTGTGTGCAGGTTCCTATCCTGCTGTGGAGTAGGCAGTAATGTTTGTAAATATATTTTACTCTATGAACATTTGTGCTAATTACAGTACTGGTATATGTGTGTGTATAAGTCTATCTAGATTGCAGATTACTTGAAACTGTACTATATATTTTATATAATTTTGTATAATAAAATATTTTACATGGCACACTGACAAAGCAAAGTTCACATCATGGAAATGTTTTCTGTGTATTCTGTTCTGAAACTTCATTTCCACATGTGTAACATTAATCTATGTGACTTTTAAAAATATTGCCACGAGGAATTATTATTGATCTATGACTCACGAAATCTTAATATCTTGATTGCAAACAAACCATGGAATAGGCGGGGTTTGAATCCTTGGTCTGGAGTTTTATGACTCAATTGGTTGGAGTTCAAAAACCTCAACCTGTTCATGGTTTGTTTTATTGCCCTGTTTATATTCTAGGGGGAAGTGTATACCTGTATTTTTGCAGCACCTGGAGAGAAGAGGCTGTGCAGTTTTACCAAGGATAAGGGAGTGTCTCCAATTCTTTGATTGAATGTATGGTCCTCTCTCTTTTTGAAGAGTTGCCAGAATGATGCTATTTTTTTTATAAATCCTGGTTTTGCTGTTAAGATTGATTTTTAGTCAGCAAAGATTTTATGATTATTTTTATTAAAACACATGGCGAGTCACACACCCCATGGCAGGGTGGCCCGATAAAAGAAAAACTTTTCACCATATTCCACTCATCACTGCTTGCCAGAGGGTGGCTTTACACTACAGTTTTTTAACTGAACTTTAACACCCTCCTGCAGAGTGAGGCCTTTATTCCATCTCCGGGACTCAAGTCCGGCCTGCCGGTTTCCTGGAATCCCTTCATGATGTTACTTTGCTCACACTCCAACAGCACGTCAATGTATATAAAAACCATTTGTCTACATTCAATCCTATCAAACACGCTCAAGCATGCCTGCTGGGAAATCCAGGGCCCCTCGCACATAAATACCTCCTTTACCCCCTCCCTCCATACCTTCTGGCCGACCCATACCCGCCTTCCCTCCAGACAGGATTTTTTACAACTTGCAAAAAGTCTTTTGTTTCGCTCATTCTCTCTACATGTCCAAACCACCTCAACAACCATTCCTCAGCCCTCTGGACTAAACAGTTTTGTTAATTCTCGCACTCTCCTAATAACTTCCAAACTAGGAATTCTATGCAATTATATTCACAGAAACATTGCCCTACACATGACATCTCCTGCCTCCGAGCCTTCTCCTCGCTGCCATCATTCATCACACATGCTCTCACCCCAGTTAAAGAGCGTTGGTAAAAACGTTTATTCTAGACATTCCCTCTTTGCCTGCATGGACAAGTTTTTGTCTCCAACACTCCTAGCTGTACTGCTCACCTTTTGCCCGCTGCATTTCTATGATTCACCTTCTCTTTCCATAGGACCCATCCGCTGACAATCCACTCCCATTATAGCTGAATAACAATTCCTCTTCATCCATACTCTCTCCCTCCAACCTGTTTTATTTGTTGAATTGTAAATCCATATTGTAATAACACTCACCCCCCCCCCACCCCCTTTTATCAATCCTGTCATCACCTAATCCTGGTTTTGTTAGCCTTCTTAACCTTACTCTTTCTGTATTCACTTTTAATTATCTTCTTTTGCATACCCTACCAAATTCATCCACCCCAACCTCTGCCCATTAC